CTGTTTGAGGGATATTGCAGCAGGTTTTATCCCTGTTTAAAGGACCTGCAGCAGGTTCCATCTCTGTTTGAGGGATACTGCAGCAGGTTCCATCCCTGTCTGCAGCTGAGCCCAGCTCAGGATGGAGAGGGGACAGAGGCAATGGAGGGAGGGGGCAGCTCCGGGCGCTCGCCAGAGAGGCCCCTGTGTGCAATTGTGAGGCCATGTCGGGTTTTTTTTCCCTGTAAATCTTTGTAATTTCGTGCTTCAGAGCACACCAAAGTGAGGGAGCCAGCGGGAAGTGAATTAAATTCCCCCCTGAGAGGCGGCGCGGTGGGGCCGAGCCGCCACCCCAGGCCAGCCAGGCCTTGGGAAGAGAAATTTGAACTTTGGGAAGAGAAATTTCAGGAGAAATCCTGTGCAGCACTTTTTGTGTGCTGGAGAAGTTTTGTGCAGCACTTTGTGTGTGCTGGAGTTCTGTTCCTGAGGCTTTTCTCCCTTTATTTTTCATCCTTGCTGCGCTGATTTTTGCTAGGCCGGGGCAGGGCCCTGCCCTCACTGGGTCTCCTCTGTGAGGTGGTGCTTGCAAAAATGGCAGGAATTGCACATGGAAAAGCCAAATCCATGGAAAACTGTGCTAAAAGACACTTGGAAAAGCAGCTAAAGCTCAGGGATTTGCTGTAGGGGCGTGGGATGCAGCTCCAGCACCCATCCTGGTGGGAGCCTCGGGCCTGAGCTGCCATCAAGTGGATTCCTCCACCTTGGCTTTTAACTGGAATTACTGTTTTCATTTCTAAAAGTAATTAAAATATCAGACCTTGAGCTGTCATAACTGTCACAGGGTTTTTGTGCTCGCATTACCGATGCACATCTATCTCTGGTAATAACAGGGAAAATAAAATGCCCTGGAGAAAAAAGAAAACATTGGGGCTGAGGCAGCTTCAGGATCGGGACCATGGGATTTTTCCATCAGTGATTTCCAGTGGTGATTTGTGGTGTTTGTCCTCCAGGATCTGAGTTTTGACTTGTTTGGATAAAGGAAGTTTGGGAGTTATTGCTCAGTGGCCATGGGGCAGCTCTGGGTGCACAATCCTAGGACACAGCTCTGGTAAATTCACCACAGGAATAGGAAATTAGGATCCATTTACTTATAAAATCCCTCAAGTTTTGATTTTCTTGGGGCTCTCTGGTTCGTGGGATGATGACAAACACAGGCCAAGGGTGCCCAATGCTGTGTCTGGAGTGTTTGGTTTGAGTCTCCTGCTATGAAATTGTAATTTTTTTATAAAGTAAACCTGGGTGTGTTAAACCCTCTGCTCTCAGCCTCCAACTGGAAATTCCCTCTCATTTTCCACATGTCCTTGTAGTGCCTGTCCAGCAGCACAGAGTGGGTCAGGTGGATTTTCCACCCAAAGATGTGGCACAGCTGGGGCACCCTGTGCTCATCCCAAGAGTTCCCTTGTGCACAGGAGCACAGGGAGGACCTGAAATGGGACCTAAAATGCAGGGAATGACTTTTCATGGGTGCTCCATTTGAGGAGGGGCTCTGGGTTAGGGTTTTGTGGGTGCTCCTTGGTTTGGATCAACAGGTGAGGCATGTGCTGAGCTGTGAGTGGATTTGGGGAGGGAAGGAGGGTGGAGATTTTTCAAAAACATGCCCAAAAAAACCCCACAAGGAAGGAAAAGAATCCTTGTAAAGCAGAAATAAGGAGCAAACAGGTCTGGGAGCACTGGGTTGTTTTCCTCAGAGCTTTACTCCTTTTCGTGGCTCCCAAGCTCTTTTTCTCAGCTCACGCTTGCTCCTCTCCTCATGTCTTCACAGGATTTTCCTAATTTTCCATTTTCTCCAGCTGCCCACGGTGCTGGGCATGGCTCTCTTGTACCTACCTGTGTTTTTCACAAGTGCATTTTACCTATTTCTAGTGTTTTTTCACTGTTTTTGTGGGATTCCCAGTGGGATTTTTGTGAGATTCCCTGTAAAAACTTGAAGAACTCATCACTTTTTCTAGGCAAACCCCCCTAAAAACAATCAGGTTTCATGGTGGTCACTTGTGTGGGCACCTCTTGGATCACCATCACTCAGACAAATTCCTGGATTGATTCATGCTGGAATCCTGCACTTGGCTTCACCTAAACCTGGCTGGAACTTTCTGCCACAAAATCCAGTTAATAAAATTAAATACCCACGGTGGCTTTGGGCACAAGGGACAGCCGTGGTGCTGGTGGCTGTGAAATAAATCAACCAGGGGACAGATCTCTGAGTGGCTGTGCCAGAGCTGGGGTTTGGGAATGATCCTTGTGAGGTGGGAATGCTGGAGCTGGTGGGGGTTTTTGGGAGAGGACAGGATTGTTTGTCCCCATGGGAACTGGGAGAGTGCTGGTCTTTAATGGGATGTACTGGTGGAGATTTTTGGGAGAGGACAGAATTGATTGTCCCCATGGGAACTGGGAGAGTGCTGGTCTCTAATGGGAGGTACTGGTGTGGATTTTTGGGAGAGGTTCCCCATGGGAACTGGGAAGGTGCTGGTCTCTAATGGGATGTACTGGTGGGGATTTTTGGGAGAGGACAGGATTGTTTGTCCCCATGGGAACTGGGAAGGTGCTGGTCTCTAATGGAATGTACTGGTGTGGCAGGAGGGAGCACTGGGGAGCGCTGCCCTCTCTGTGCATCAAACCCATCCCGTGAGGGAAATCCATGGAGAAGGAGCCAGAGCTGGAGGAAGAGGAGGAGGAGGAGGAGGAGGAGGGAGCCTTGCTCATGCCCACCCCTGTGTCTCTCTTGCAGGCTCTGCAGGTGGCTCGGCAGTTCCTGCTGCAGCAGGCCACAGGGCTCAGCTCCCCCAGCAGCAATGAGGGCAAGCAGCCAGCGGTGCAGGTGAGCCCCAATGTCCCCTGTCACCCCCTCCTGGGGACAGCACAAACCCCTGTCACCTCATGGCTGGAGCACTCCAGGAGTTTAATCCTCTGGGAACCTCCAGAAGTTTCTTGGGAGGTTTATCTGTGTGTGGGAATGGCTGGGGAGGGGAGGTCACTGTGTGTCACCACTTTTTGGGACAGTGTTTTGGAGACAGAGTTTCCCAGGGTTGGAGCATCCCAGGATTGATGCTGGGAGCTGTGAGGGTGGCACAGGGCTGGAAAAGGGAACAATCTTTTGGGCTGGAACCAGGGCAGGTCCTCCAGGATGGGACAGAAGCCCAGCTGGGATGGGGATTTGTGGCACTGGCAGGAAAATGGGCTTTGGGTTGGCACATCCTGCTCCTGTAGGGATGGGGCACCTCCCTTTGCTCCCCTTCTCTGCCAGAGGAAAAGGGCAGAAAATGGGCAGGAGAGGGGTGAAATCTGGAGAGAGGGAGAGGCAGGGAGAAGCAAGGCCCAGGCGATGGGAAGTGACAATTTAAATAGCTGTGCGGAGGGGCTCTCCCTTCAGGCTAATTAAATTTATCGGAGAACAGCAGGTTACCTTATTAGAGCCACGTGGGTTTAATTAACAAAGGAAAGTAATTAGCACAAGCGCTCTCGGAGCTGGAGGTCCTGCCTGTGCCAGGCTGAGCCGGGTGGCAGCAGGAGCCAGGCTGGGATGGGCAATCCCTGGATCCTCTGTGCCAGGGCATGGCTGAGCCATCCAGCAGCAAATCCCAGAGCTGCCAAGGGGTCAGGAGAGCCCAGAACCCCCCGGGCTGGGAAACAGCAGCTGGGTGGGAGCAGTGGGAATTAGTCAGGGCTCCTACGGCACAAACAGGCGGCTTTTTCCAGCGGTGCCGGCAGGAAGGAAATGCAGTCACTGCATGGAAAATGTCTGCAGAGGACAAAGGCGGCGAGGGTGAAGTCAGATTCCGGTAACCGGCGCCTCGCTCCCCTCCGTGGGTGTGTGTCCCTGCACTCCTCCTCCTCCTCCTCCTCCTGCTGCTCCTTATCCCGCCTTGCTCTCCCTGCTATTCCCGGCTGGATGCAGCCGAACATCCCGCGCTGCTCCCCAGCCTCCCCTCCCTGCTGCCCATCTGGCCAGCGGCTTTCGCCGGAGCAAACTGGATCTCCTTCTTCTCCCTCCCTCCCTCCCCTCCTCCCTTTTTTCTCTCTCCGTGTTGCAAAAAGGACTTGTGAAAGTTGTAGACGTGAGTCAGAAATAGCTCATAACTCAGCAGCGCCCGGCAGTGCCTCCCCCCGCGGCCCCGCCGGCAGCTGGAGCGGGATCTGACCGAGGGGAGATAGGGGATTAAGCAGACTCCTTTGAAAGGAAGTTTATCTAAGGCACCGTGGTGTGGATGAGACTGGCCAGGACGGCTGCAAGAGGAGGAGGAGGAGGAGGAGGAAGGCTGGGTCCCAGCACAGCCCTCCTTGGCTTGGAGGCAGCAGGAAGCGAAGCAGGGTGGGGATGTTTGAGAATTGGGGTGTCCTTGGGGTTGCTGCCTGTGTATGGGCAGCCCCACAAGTTTGGGAAGGGATTTCCACATGCATGGGGAATTTTGTCTCCCCTCAGCTCTGTGCCAGATGGTTCCTGGCCCCCAGTCCTGGGGGAATGAGCAGGAGGGTCCCAGTGCTGGCAGGGAGACCCCCGTGCTTGCCCACACTATGCACTCTCCTTGTCACCCCGCTGATGGGGACGGGACAGTTTTGGGGCACCAAGCCAGCAGGATTAATGACATTCCCGACAGCCTGAGCTTAAAAACAAGCAGGGAGCTGCTGGGCTCAGCAGCATCTTGGATTGGGGTTTGTTTTGGAGTAGGGACCCTCTTCCCACAGATGCCAGGAGGTGTGTGTGGACAGTCTCATGTTGTCACTCCAGTTACAGCTGCAGGAAAGGGGAAAAAAATCCAAAACCCCATCTCTGGGTGTTCTAAAACATTTAAAACTAAGTTTATTTCTTTACAACTTTAAAACTCTTGAAAACTTGGTGGGCACTGACAAAATGTTGCTTTTGGGAGCTTTTGGTGTTGCAGGGCATTGTCGTCCTGGGATGGTGGGAGCAGCAGATCCCCCTGGGATCCAGGAAAACCCAGAAGGTGCTGGAAAAGCAGCACCCCAGTGCTGGCTTGGAGGCACCTGGGAATGATGGGGTGCCCTCTTTGAGTGCCCTCAGAGCTGCCTCTGCTGGGATCAAGTGGCTGGGAAGAGAGAGGGGCTGGAGGGCACCCAGGGAAGGGAGGAGAGAGGAGTTTGGAGCAAACTGCGGGAAATTGCTTTTCTTTTGTCTGCTGCAGCGGGGAGGGCAGCAGAGCGGAAAAGTGTATTTTGTTGATTTGAAACTTGAGTGAAATGGGTAATGAAGACAGATCAATACCAGCCCTTCTGCGTTCCCTCTCTGGGAAAAAAAAAAAAAATCCAGCAGCAGCAGCAGCCTGTCCATCCGTCTGGGCTCGCACCGAGGTTTTTCCATTTGAACTTGGAGCATCCCTGTCTGTCCCTGCTCCATCCCAAAGCCCCCAGCTCTGCCAGCCCGGTGGCACTGCCACCATCCCACTCTGGGATTGGCGTTTTGGGTTCACAGAGGAGCAAAGTCACTTTAATCCCTGTAGAAACATCGGTGTGAGAGCTGTGCCAGCAGCCCGTGCTCACGGAGGGGATGTAGGGACCCTGCCCCGGTGGTGCTGGGGGACAGGGCTGGCTGAGGAGGGGGCTCAGTGCTGTCACTTGTGCTGCCACTGTCCCCAAGCGGGGACTGGAGCCCAGCCAGGTGTGATTGGGGCCTCCCCAGCAGGAAGGCTGCGCTAACAAGGATGTGCTAATGAGGATGCTCTAACGAGGATACGCATTGGGCTGAACATGCCGGGCATTGATTCCTCCTTTTCTTCACAGGAAGCTGAACATCAGGGCCTGGTGTCCTCCTCCCTGGTGTCCCCCCACCTGCTCACCCTGCTGCCACCCCACCCAGGGCACTCACTTGGTGCTGGGGCTGTTCAGAGTGTTCCTAAAATTGCTCCTAAAACCACCCACAGCCTCAAAACCCAGCCTGGCACGTGGGGCTGAGCTTCATTTCTCCTCTGACCCTGGGCAGATTTCAGTGCATTGTCTCATGCCAGCCTGGTGAGGTCTGGCGGTGGCACAGCAGCGTTTGGGTGGCCCTGTGCCACCCGTCAGGGTTTATAAGCCATGGCTGGGGTCACCTCAGTGTCAGTGGCATCACTGCCTGGCACTGGGAGCACTCCCAGACTGTCTGAGCCAGCTGGATCTTGGAGCTCACCCAGGGATGCTGAATGCAGGAAGGGAGGCCAGGATGTGCCAGGAAGGTTGGGGTTGCTTTGGTCCTGTGAGAATTGGGTGCTCTGGGGTGGGATTTGCTCATCCCCTGCCCTTAAAACAGCACAACTTGAAGCTGCTTTTGGTGGTTGTTCCCTCCCTTCTGTTCGCAGTCTCCTCAATTTGTTTCTGTTTGGTTTGGATTTGAAAAGAGTGGTTAAAATTAGAAAAAACAGCACAAACATGTTCCCTGCTGTTTCTAACTGGGAGTTAAACCCCAAGATTGGATCAGAGCAGGGATGTGCATCCCTGAGCTCTGTGGAAAACCAGGGGAGAGAGAGGGGGGTGCTCATCCCCGTGATCCCAGAGCCAGCAGGGATGGGGGGACGAGGTCTGGGCTGTGTGGTTGAGGCGTGGAGCAGGAGCTGCCCCTTCCCGTAGTGGCAGTGATGCGTTGGCCCTTGGGGACACGGTGGCTCCTGCAGTGACCTCCCAGCCCGGGTGACAGCAGAGCAGGGAAGTTTGGATGCTGATGGAGGATGTCCCCAGGCCGTGCCAAGGCAGCTGTCCCCAAGGTCAGGAGGGCACTGTCCCTCTGATGACAGCACCGTGGCACTGCAAGCCAAGGCTGCCGGGCTGTGGCTTCCCCCGCTCTGCCTTGTGCCTGCGAGTTCAACCCGCTTCCCGTAAAAACAACCCAAAAAAATCCAGGAAAAATTTCTCAACAGCCTCGCTCCCCATCCTGCCTCGTTCCACACGGCCAAGTCCTGCTTCCCTCAGCTGGCTTTGGCTCAGGGAGGGAATATTCCCTGGAATACCTGCCTGCTTTTCCACCCACTGCCTCTGGCACGGGGATCCCAGCTGGGCCCGCCTGGAAAAGCAGCCCCTGGAGATGCTGCTGGCCGGCCCGAGCAGCGCCGGCTGTTTCTGGGAGCAGCCAGAGCTGTTAGTAAGCACTTTCTGCGGGGTGGCAGCCGGCCAAGGCGTGAGTCAAACCCTTCCTGACTCGGTGTCTGGCAGATGCCAGCTCGTGACGCGTCGGGCTGGTCCCCAGCTACTGCTGCTGCTGCCGGGACCTGCTTCCCCAGGGATGTGCTGGCTGCAGGGACATTTCCTGGCTGCTCCTGTGCCTGGGGGTGGGGGCAGCTGGGTGGCACTCACCCCTTATTTGGGTGGCACTCACCCCTTACAGCCCCTGTGCTGCTCTGGTGTCCTGGGCTGGTGGCAGCTGGGTGGCACTCACCCCTTATTTGGGTGGCACTCACCCCTTACAGCCCCTGTGCTGCTGTGCTGTCCTGGGCTGGTGGCAGCTGGGTGGCACTCACCCCTCATTTGGGTGGCACTCACCCCTCACAGCCCCTGTGCTGCTCTGGTGTCCTGGGATGGTGGCAGCTGGATGGCACTCACCTCTCACAGCCCCTGTGCTGCTCTGGTGTCCTGGGATGGTGGCAGCTGGGTGGCACTCACCCCTCAGCTGGGTGTCACCCCTCACAGCCCCTGTGCTGCTCTGGTGTCCTGGGATGGTGGCAGCTGGGTGGCATTCACCCCTCATCTGGGTGGCATTCACCCCTCATCTGGGTGGCACTCACTCCTCACAGCCCCTGTGCTGCTCTGCTGTCCTGGGCTGGTGGCAGCTGGGTGGCATTCACCCCTCATCTGGGTGGCACTCACCTCTCACAGCCCCTGTGCTGCTCTGCCTGGCACCCTTCAGCTCTCATATATTCCAGTTTTTGAGGCAGTTGCTGCCCAAATCCCACTGTTATATCCAGGGATGCCAGGCTGGACTCACATCCTGCCACAGGGAATCTTGTCACTGAGGGCCATGGGTGCAGGTGAAGGGGTCTCCCATCCCTGTGGGGCTTTTGGCCAGGTTGGGATGGACATTTCCATCCCTATTTCCATTCCCATCTTGTTTTGCCAGAGCAGCAGCTTTCCCTGTCCCCACCAGAGGCAGCTGGCAGTGTCACCAGAGCTTGGGACAGAAACCCCCCAGCAATGGGGTTTGCTGGCCCACACTGGGGTCAAGGCAGTGCTGGAACATTCCCAGCACTGAGGCGTGGGATGAATGGGAGCAAAACCGCCTGTAAGTGGGAATTTCCTCTTTTACTAAAAGTTGCTGCTTTCCCTGGAAACCTTAACTGGGAGAGGAACGTTTTCCACGCTGTGGGGAAATTCTTCACAGCAGCCAAGGAAGCAGCAGAGCTCAGATGCCCCTCTCAAGTTCACCCCATCCCCACCTCACCCCCACACGGATCCGCCACCATTTCTCCGTGTCAGCTCCGCATCCGAGCGGGGGGGAAGGAAAAAAAAAAGCCATTTAATGCAGACAAAGGTTGTATGAAAATATAATTCTGCTTTTGTTAGCAGCCATCAAACTCTAAAAAGCGTCACTTTTGTTTTCTTGTAACATTGTGAAAACCTCGTGTCGGATCGAGAGCTGGGGCCCTCTCGACTAATCGCCTCTCCTTTGTGTTTTTAGATTATAGGGGCAATTAGTGTTGTCAAAACCTCTGGCAATTCTCTTTGCTCTTGACAGGGTGTCAGTCCGCTGGGCGAGAAATGGAAGGTGTTATAACTCTCCGGTAATTAGGATGCCTCCGATTTGAAAATGCCAGCAAACGTGTTCGAGGGGCCGCGGGAGGGGGCGGGGAGCCCGCCCGGGCCTGGGGGGGGATGTGGAGGAGCAATTAATTAGGGGCTCTCATTCCGAGCACGTTGCTGGCTGATGAATTGGCAGAGGGAAATTAGCGGCGCTCCTGGGCGCGCATCTCGCTCTCCTTGCCAGCTTCCCAGATGTTCACCCGGGGCTTGGCACAGCTGGCTGGGAGCACCTGGGTGCCCAGACAGCAGCTCTGCACTGGGTGCTGGTGCTTGGGCTCTCTGATGGGTGCTGGAGTTGATGAATTGGCAGAGGGAAATTAGCAGCGCTCCTGGGAGCATCGCTCTCCTTGCCAGCTTCCATCCTGCCCAGATGTTCACCCAGAGCTTGGCACAGCTGGCTGCGAGCACCTGGGTGCCCAGACAGCAGCTCTGCACTGGGTGCTGGTGCTTGGGCTCTCTGGTGGGTGTGGAGCCTTGCAGGGTGCTGAGCTCCAGCCCTTGGGTGGAAGTCAGAGGAGTTAATTGATAGCTCGGCTGGAGGGGGAAACGCTGGTGACAAACAGAGCTCGCCCCGTGCCCGACACCTCCCTGCAGCAGAATGCCTGAGTAAATAGATAAGGCTTTGCAATCTCCCTCGAAGGTCACCTGGACACCCATCACAGATGGGAGGGACTGCCCGGGGCCACCCTGTGGTGCCATCCCTGCTGGAGTGGCTGCAAGGGCTCCAGGCTGGCATCACTGGGAGGGCTGGCAGGAACCAGGCTCTCCATGGGATTTTGCTGGGTTTCTCTGCTCTTTGAGGTCCTGAGATCCTGAGGAGCTGTTTAGTTTGGGTCAGAACTGGCTCCTTGGCATGCAGCTGGATCCTGGCTCGTGCTCTGCCCCATCCCACATGCCAAGGAGCTGCTGCCTCTTCCTGGGATCCCCTGGAAGAGCTCGTGGCTGCTGGTGGCTCCTGACCAGCAATTCTTATTTGCTTTCCCAGGAATATGAGGCATCCAGGAGGGTCATTCAATTACAACGAAGCCCTAGCCCTGCCCAGAGCCTCAGGAAGGGCTTTGGGCGGGTGGGATTGGTGGGAGGCCAGGACAAGGCAGCTCCTGATGGCTCCATCCGGGCATTGCTCCACCTGGGCAGGACCCAGCAGGGCTGGGATCCATCACTGACACCTTCCCAGCAGCTTTGCCCGGGGTGTGGAGCCGTGTTTTGATAACCAAAGGCAGGGGCTGGCAGGTTCCCTCGGCCCTCCCTCCTCTTGGCACAGGAATTACAGGAGTTACTGGTGTCAGCTGGAGGTAAAGCTTTGATGTGCCTGGAGAACCCCGTAACCTCTTCCTCAGTGCTGTGCTCTGCAGAGTTACTTGGGTGATCAGTATCTTCCCACTTCCCTGGCGTTTCCCTCCACCCTTCCCGTGCTCCCAGCAGGGGAGGGAGCTGTGGTTTGATGCCCAGTTCCCCCAGCTAAATTGCATTTAAAGAAGAGCTCTCAGCTTGTTAAGAGCTCTCGTGGTTCAGGAAGCTTCCTTTGGTGCCAGCAGCACCATGGGACATCCAGAGGTGACAGAGACATGGGGGATGCTCTGGGAGAGGCACTGTTGGTGTTTGGGGAGGCCGGGGTTGGGAGTGGTGACGTGTCCTTGCTGTCACAGGTCCCCGTGTCCGTGGCCATGATGTCCCCACAGATGATCACGCCGCAGCAGATGCAGCAGATCCTGTCCCCACCCCAGCTCCAGGCCCTCCTGCAGCAGCAGCAGGCAATAATGCTGCAACAGGTAACACTGAATCCAGCCAGGCAATTCCCACCGGGCTCTGGGAATGCTGGGGTTGGTTGGAGGCACAAAAATGGGTCCTTTCCTCCTTCTGCTTTCCACACCTTTCCTTTAGGATTCCCAGCACGTCCAGGGATGGAAAGAGCTGCAGGTGCTGACAGTGCTGCCATCCTGAGCCAGGGTCTCAAAACCTGCAAAATTCCTGCTCAAGGGCTGATTTGGAGCTGCCCAGCTCCTGGGAGAAGCCGGGGTCAGGGTGGCTGCCCTTGGTTCAGTGTGCCCCAAGCAGAGCCCCCGTGGCCACTGCTGGGTGCCTGTGTCCAGCTCCAGAGCTGAGCTTTGTTTCTCATGGCCCTGCTCGGCCTTTCCAGAGATTTTAGTCAGATGGGGAGGGAAGAAAAAGGAGGAGAAGGAAAAAAAAAAAGCAGATTTCCACTCTGAAACAAAATCTGTCTGCTTGGGTAAACAGCTCCCGGCAGCGGGAAGGAGGGAGAGAGGGAGAAACCCCACAAGCATCCTCCACACCCTTCCTCCTGCCTCCAGTACCTGTTTACTCCAAACAGCCCGATAAGGATTCAAGGTTGGCCCCGGGGAAAGAACAAAGGGTAAACACTACCCTGGGTGGGTCCTTCCACAAGCCTCTTTGGAGCCGGATAAAGAAACACGTTTGACTGCAAATTAAACAACCCAGGCCGGAATAGCTCACATTCTCCACCGGCAGCAAACCAAACATCACACCTCTCACCCCTGACCCAATGTTCCTGCTCCCAGCCCGGCCACTCTGCAGCTCCCTGGCTCGGGCTGGCTCGGGGGTAAACACCCAGCCCCTCCAAACCTGTTCTCAGACACAAACAGCCCTGGGGCTGATAAAGGCATCCCAGCACCCCCAGGGACATTCCTGAGGCCCTGAAGGGGCTGGGGGGGTCTCACTGACCTCCCCGTGCCTTCCTCCCCCTCCCTGCACGCAGCAAATCCATCACCCACAGTTTATTCAGGGGCCAGGGTGGGAGCTGGTGGCGATGCTGGCATGTCCCAGCGCTGCCTGTGGGCACTGGGACCCTCTCTGGGGGCTCCCTGGGGATCCAGGGGGGTTTAAACAGCTCTGCTCTGATTTGAGGGGCTGTTTTGACTGCCCCCGGCTCTCACAGGCCAGGGGTTGTGGCTGCTCCTGGTCCTCCCCACTGGGACTCTCACAGCACTTGTCAGGGGTGTTTTGGGGTCCCACCACACCAAAACTGGGGTGTCCCCACTCTGAAGTGCTCTGTGATGTGCCAGAGCACCCCAGCCTGCTTTTCTGTCGAGCTTGGCAATAAAATAAACATCAGGGTGGGCATTGGGGGGTGTTTGGGGGGGTTCAGGGGCCATGGGCATCCAGAGCCCTTGGCAATGCATGCCCAGGGTTCCTCTGCTGCTTTCCCTCCTGCCCTGCACTGGGTGACACAGGGAGCCCTGGTGACAGTGCCAGGAGCTGGAGTGGCTGTGGCAAAGCCTTGGCACTGGGGTGGTGAGGTG